ACACACACACACTCGCTCTCTCTCTCTCACACACACACACACACACACACACACACACTCATGCGAGTACACAAATGTGATCATAACAGCAGTAATGGTGTGTTTGCTGCTTGATATTGAACCGGAAGTCTTGCACATTCACAGAGGTGGATAAAGCATAGAATAACCCGCAGCCCACTTTCTCCTAATTAAAAAGATTGGAAAATGATTTCTAGAAATATCTGTAGGGTTATTTTAAAACTCACTCGCTCTCAGATCATGAGTTTGTTTCTTCATCAGATCTGGAGAAATTGCATCAGTGTCTCACTGCAAGTGAATGGGTGCCGTCAGAACGAGAGTCCAAACAGCTGATAAAAACATCACAAGTAATCCACAGCACTCCAGTCCATCAGTTAACATCTGGAGAAGACAAAAGCTGAAACACATCCAGCATTAAGACGCTTTTAACTAAAACACATAGAGTCCATAATCCATAATAACTCTTCCTCCAGAGAGTCAGTGTTCTGGTGTGAATCAGGAGAGAAATCTGCACAGATCAAGCAGCGTTTAAACAGCTCTAAACACATATGTGGCTGGATTCTGATGCGAGAGATAACAGCAGATGCACTTTTTCACTGGAGGAAGTGTTGTTATGGATTATGGACTCTATGTGTTTTAGTTAAAAGCGTCTTAATGCTGGATTTGTCTCAGCTTTTGTCTTCTCCAGATGTTCACTGATGGACTGGAGTGCTGTGGATTATTGTGATGTTTATCAGCTGTCTGGACTCTCATTCTGACGGCACCCATTCAGAACACCGTTAGCAGATCAGGTGTGTGATCTGTGTTTTGGGAGCATTGATTTTAAAAGGATGTTCTCCACAGGGATATTTGGATATTTAAGATGCATTATTAATGTTTCTCATGTTAATATTTCATAGTGGTGCAGGTATTGCATTGGGTTGTGATGTGGAATCGTTTCTGTGTGTCTTTGCTGCGAGCTCTGCTGGATTTCACATGCAGAAATATGTTGCCACGGTAACTGAGACATGCAGCAGATCCGCTCGAATCCCTCGGAGGCGTCAGGAGCGCTAAAATAAACCTGCAGAGGTCCGATCCGATCCATTGATAACAGCAGCAGCCGCTGTTTGACATTAATGCGAAATATTACAGTGATCAAAGAATCATTTTTAAGTTGCATATGTAAATGTGAATATAATACAATATAATTTTAATGTATAATGTAACATTAATGTATATAATACTAATATAGAATTTATGTAAATAAAATCTTATTTTAAAGTAATTATACATAAATGTAATTTATAACCGATAATTATATATATGTAAAAAGTATATGCTTTATTATAATAAAAAAATAAAAATTTTCTTTGAAACAGCTGTGAAAGTCTCTTCTGTAAGCCATGTAATGAGTGCCGTCGCATTATTTCAGAGTAACTACAGCCGCGCATGCGCTTCAGTGCATTTCTAAAGAAACACGACACCACGAAGAGCCAGAGACGATCCGAGACTGAGCTTCTGAGAAAACCCCATCAGAGTGCTTTTACCAGAGCATTAAACACGCTCGTTATTATTGGAAACAGCAGACCAAACTACATTTCCCATCATCCTCTCTCACGCTTTGCATTCAGACGGAGAGAGATAACAGCAGATGCACTTTTTCACTGGAGGAAGTGTTGTTATGGATTATGGACTCTATGTGTTTTAGTTAAAAGCGTCTTAATGCTGGATTTGTCTCAGCTTTTGTCTTCTCCAGATGTTCACTGATGGACTGGAGTGCTGTGGATTATTGTGATGTTTTTATCAGCTGTTTGCACTCTCGTTCTGACGGCACCCATTCACTGCAGAGCATCCATCATGGCGTGAAGTGAATGTGCAGTTGTTTTTCAGACTCTGATCACATCTGGATCATTGATCGGCTGACTGATGTGCAGCTGATGTCAGTCGAGCGTCTCGTTTGTTGAACACCGTTTCAGTCGCAGCAGATCAGGTGTGTGATCTGTGTTTTGGGAGCATTGATTTTAAAAGGATGTTCTCCACAGGGATATTTACCCCATGCAGATGCATTATTAATGTTTCTCA